TTCTTCTCAGTTTCTTTTTCTATCATCAATCATCCTTGATGAGAGTTTAAGTACAAACTGAGTTTAACATTCTCATATAGCCTGTGTCTGATAGTGTTTACTTTTATTTTGATGAGTTAGCTTTTTATAAAATCCTCACTCAATGTGTTCTTATTTATTTGAGAGAGAGAGAGAAACATGGATGTGAGAGAAATACATTGATCCCTTGTCTCCCATACTTGCCTTGACTGGGGATCGAATCTGCAACCTAGGTATGTGCCCGCGGTGTGAACCAAACCCACAGCCTTTTGGTGAATGGGACACCGCTCCAACCAACTGAATCACCCAGCCAGGGCAGGTAATGAGTTAACTTTTTAAGTAAATTTACTCTTATTTGTTGCATCTTCTAATTTGTTGTCCTCATTTAAAAAATTGTGATTTATTCTTTTAGGCCTTAGAGCTGCCACTGAACAGTGTTTCTCTTAAGTAGCCTCCCAAGTACTTGTGTGCTTATAGTTAATTGTTCTTCATATATGCAGAAGATATTTCTGTGCCATCCCCTGCAGTCAAATTTCATAGTTTAAGTGCTGAAATGCCTGATTTGCTTTAGTATATTTTTATTTATTTATTTTATTTTACTTTAGTATTTCATTTATTTATTTTAGTATATTTTTCCTCTGTAAGTATGCAAGATCGAGTTGTCAGACACTCACTGGTCAGTACTGATGAACTGCCTGTACCATAGTATTTCAATTTTGGTAAGGTTAACTTACTACAAACAGTGATGTATAGTGAAAATGGCATCCAAAAATGTGTCCCTCCATAAAAACAGCAAAAGAACCCTGGCAAAATAGTCAAAATCAACTTTTTCAGAACTCTGGAAATTGACCAAAAGCTTGTAGCAACCCAGAAAACATTTATTCAAGAAGAACTGCTGAAAGAGCAGATCAGAGCTGGAGCTGTTTCAATGCTTCATTCCCAAAGGATTGATATCATTTGATCTGTTAGATTGTGCCCTGGAAGACCCAACTGGAAAGGCTCGCCTTTATTTCACCTGATTCAAGCTTGCCCAATGCTAACCAAACTTCTCAGCCCCCATAATCATGTGTGTCAGTTCCTTGCAATAAATCTCTCTCTCTCTCTTTCTCTCAGTATATATATTATTATATTATACATACTATTATATAGTATGTATAATGTTATATTACATTATAAATATATACCTATTAATATTATATTATTTTGAGTATAATAATATGATATTGATATATATTATATAATAATATCATTTTTTATAATGTAAAAACATATTGGCTCTGTTTTTCTGGAGAGCTCTGACTAATACAAGCACCTTTTATTCTGTTGCTTGTGTCACATTTGCTATTATCCCATTGGCCAAAGCAAGTCACCTAGCCAGGCCGGGAGTCATCATGGGAGGGGACTCCCCACGGTGCAGAGGAAACACTTTACAAAATGGGCCAAGTCCTTCTTAGTCTGTTCTACATGACATATCCCATGGTTTCTGAATTACTGTCCCAGGGATGATACTTGTCTCTCATGTTGGTTGTTTCCCAGAAAACTAGGAGCAGAACTTGACTTCCTCTTCTCTAATCGTTAAAGCATTTTCAAGTATAGTTGCCCAAACTATATTGAGTAAAACTGGGCTTAATTAGCCTTTTTTTCAGGGTAGTTAGAAATGGATGAAGATGCACTTAGTTATGAAATGTGTCTGACAATGACCTGAGGAAACAAATGGTAAACTTGGATGTGTTTAGTACCTAGGTTGCTGATAGGTTTCAGATTTACAGCTTCTGTTAAGTCCTGCAATTACGTAAGTAGTACCATAACTGTATTTTGAGACTTACCATGAATTACCAAAACAGCAGCAGCAAGGACAATAACTGTCATTAATTGGATAATCATTATGTTTTAGGTATGATGCTAAATGCTTTAATGGAGTTAACTAATTCAGTCCCAACAGCCCTGTGAGATTGGTCTCATTGTTCCCATTTTTGAGCTAAGGAAATAGAGGCACAAATAAGTTATGCCAGAGAGTGAAGTAGAAAGGACTGAGTAGTTTTTTTCTTCAGAGCATGGCGAATATATTCTTTCTTGCTTAACACTTCAGTCTGTCCAAAAAGTACCCCTTGAAATTCTGGTATGGAATAAAATAAACACCCAATGAATGATGCCCTAGATTTCTGGCTCTTCCCAAGGACTCCACTAGTGCCCCTGTCTCACCTACGGTCCCCTCACACCTCAAGTTTCCTCTTTGCAATAATTTTCTTTCTGGAAAATGGGCCTTAAATTTAGAAGGCAAAGGTGCATTACTTCTTGAGGAAAAAAAATTCTTCTCAGACTCTGGTCAAAATGTAACTTCCACCAAGCCAAAGCTGTCAGCAAGATGGGACACTCTACATGAGCATATCAAGGAAGGGCTACTGGCCCTAAAATAATGTCAGCAGTAGTAGAATCTTCCAAATGTGGAGGAGTGTCATCAGCTTGAGGATATGTCTTATTACTGTATGTTTTACCAGGTAAATGGGCAAGTATTTGCCATATTTCTGAAATGAGAATGAAATGGGGTAAAATGCCCTTTCCAGGGAGCCCCATTTGACATTGTTGAAATGTTTATGCCATTAGAAACAAGAATATCAGCATTTCTCATTTTCACTCAGTGTTATTCCAGTCATTTCTTGACTTTGTGGATCATTTTAAATTTATAGTTTCATTGAAGAAAATTGTACCTAAATTTAGAAATAACCCATTAGAATGTGTTACATTATGTATTAATTTGTAAAATGTACTTCAATTTTATTAGAATGAAAGTTATACAAGATAATTTTGTGCAGAGTTTCTTTCTAAGGAAAAGTATGTGCTTTATAAAGCTCCCACTAAAAATAAATATTTCAGTGTGTCTCATTTTAAATACATTAAGCCTTCCTGGTTTTAATAATAGTTCTATTAAGATGACTTTAATAATAAGTATAGATAATTGCATACCATTATTATAGAGAAAATTATTGAAACACAGAAATGAGATTGCAATTAGAAGCATAAAATGGAGAAAGTTCATTTCCGTTACATATAAATTTTGAAACATTGCTTCTGAAAAGATCGGAGTCAAGATTCATTCAAATATGAACTACAGCATTGTGTTTTAAATTTCACATGCGTTCAGAAGTAAAATAATCAAAAAGTTCCAAATATTTACACATTACTTACTTGGTGTAACATGGTGCACATTGATTTTTATTTTATTTTTTCTGGTAAAGGCCACCACCAGAAAGAGAACTCAGGGACCAAAGTGAAGCGTGATATAACCACTTTAGAGAAGCAAATATAAAACTATATTTGTTAAATTCTGCAAACAATTCAAAGAGTTTTGCCTCAGTTTGCTTTAAGATGGAGAAAGAACATAGATTCAGGTGGCACCGGCGGGCCACGAAGACATAAATGAGAAGTTAAGAAAAACTTTGCAGAGAGCAAGCAACAGGCCTGCTGAGTGGGAGAGATAGAAGGAGGGCAAACAGACACCCAGTGGAAAGGAAGGAGACAAAGGGGAGAAGGGAGATGACCACACGTAGACAGGCAGAGCGGGGAGGGTGGAGAGAGACGGGGGAAAGACAGGCAAAGAGAAGGAGGACTGTTTGGACGGAGCTGTGCAAATAAGGATCCTGTCCAGAAATACCATTTCAAATTTACCCTGTGGCAAAGTCAATCTCAGAACTACATTTATAAATGAAAGATTATATAGAAATATATGTCTCAATTTCAAATGCCATCTCATCAGAGACCTTTCTAGACCATCTAACTGAAGTAGCACCCCCCGTTACACTTATTTTATTTCATATTCTTTATAGCACTTATTACTTCCAGAAGTGATCTCCTTTGTCTGTTTAGATGTTTACTCCCTCTCTTCTTCAGAATGTAAGAGCTTATGTTGCAGTTAGGGACATTGACTTGTCTTCCCAGTGCCTGGAAAAGTTCCTAGAATATAGTAGGAATGCAGTGAACATTTAATGATGACTTTTGACTAAGAGAACATCTATCTATTTACTTTTTCATGACTTCAAGACTATATACCTTAAAAGACTATATACCTTTGGAGGTAATACAAGAATATATATATATGATATTTGGAAAATCCCCCCTTTCTATAGAGCCCTTCAAAATGCACTCCATTTTAGAACCCCTTCTAAGGCTAAGAACTGCGAAGTCCTTTCTCTCTCAAGGTAATGTCTTGCTTCTGTTCAGTAACAGCCATTTGTAGGATATTTAATTCTATCATTTATTAATTTACTGAATTTTTACTAGTCTAAAATTTTATAGACACCAAGGAGTAGAGAGATCATTGACTCCCTAACAACTAGATCTTCTCTGGAGCATATTTATAATAAGTGGAATTACAGTGACCAGGATTTATGTAAGGGACTAGGAGGTGAATGGGAAAAGAAGACAGGGGTCATTTGGGGGGAAAGAATAAATAGAATATTATTCACTATAGAAAGAGCTGTTTATTCCTACCTCTCATCCTAGCCTGGCACCCCTGGGCCATCACCTTCCTACTACCTGCTAGTTAATGAAGGACCTCAGGCCTGTCCCGAATCCAAGAGTCAGCACGTTTCTTCCCCTGAAATATCAAGGACTCTCAGGCTCTGTAAAGACAGAGGCTGTTGTGTTTTGTTTGTTTGTTTGTTTGTTTTGTTTTTTTAATAAACTGAACGCACCTTACATATTTTTTGGAAAAAAGGAAACTCCAGTTAACTTCGCATTCCTTCACCGCCAGATGAGCAGTTTGCAGTCTGCTTTCACTTGGGGCTGAAACAAAAGCAATCCTGCTTGTCAGTGTTTTTTATTTCCCCCCTTCTTGGAGACACTTGCTCATTTCTATAATCGCTTGTTCATTCCTCACACCACTTTGCTGAACAATAGAATGACGTAAACAAACAATGTGTCTGAAGAAAAGTACTCTTGCAAGTTTGAAGGATTTAAACTGAAAGACCACAATAATTTTACAGATCCTCGAGAATCAGACCTGTGGCATGGAGAGGGAATAAATAGAGGATCACTTCACCTACTAAAAAACATCTATTTGTGAGGTAAGAATCAGCAGATGTATCTTTTTTTTTCGGCTATTGTATTTAATAATAGAAAAAAAGTTTAATTAAAACTGCAAAGGCACACTTTGGTGAACGGAATAAAATTCCCTTGGTTGAGAACTGAACAAAATACCACAGTTGGGGTAATGTAACTTTCACCTAAAGTTGCACAAATAGTGTTTGGAGAATAATTCTGAGCCTCTATTTTGAATTTTGCACTCAGTAGGCCAATCCAGAACCAGTGTAGAAGTGGGATTTGGACCAGGAATGATGCAAGCAGAGGAAAGAAGGATTTTGAGAACATCATAGTAGCCAGGACTTACGAACTTCTCTTGGACAAGTCTCTTAAAAGACCTGTATTCAGAAACCAGATTTGGATCACTTTGTATGTAAGGGTTAATTTTAGGTTAAGGCTGTTGTGCTGGGGAAAGTTTAGGTGTTAAATAGACTGCTCGGTTTGTCCCAGGGAAGACACATTTCTGAGGTTTGACTATAAGATAATCTCATCTCTATAGAGATTGAAGATGTACAGAGATAAAGTCATATTTTTAGGGTCTCCGTGGAATAGAACAAGATACCTGAGATGAGACCCAATCCAGACTCTCCAAATTGGTTATGAAATCAAGCCAGTTTCCAGAATTAATTGGAGATGAGGAAAGTTATAAATAGCTATGTGTCTTCTGTATGACATCGTTTCATGGTTCTTTGGGATCTAGTATCTTCAATATGTGTAACCTTGTTTTTACGTTTAATTTCAAAAGGGCCCAGCAGCTTAAAAATGTTATCTCAGTTTAGGTCCATATGTCATTTGGTAAAATATATAATAGCAGTTGTCACAAGTACTATGGTTGAAAGAGTTATAGTACCATAAAATAGATTAACTTACTTTTGTAATTGACTTTTAGATGCCTAAAAAGGCAACCCAACTCAGTACACACACACACACACATTCAACAATAGAACTCAAACTTTCAGTGCATAAAAATTTTTAAGATGTGAATTACCAAATATTTGAAAGAATTTTAAGATATGTGAATTGGCTGCATTTGCTTTTCCATTTCTCTCAGAACTCACACTCTGTAGGAATTTTGGCAGGGTGGAATTTTGGTTGTGAGTAATTTACAAGTTAGAGCTTCCATCTGGATACAAATTCCCTTTACCAGTTACCAAAGGAAACCTTTTCTTACCAGCGAACAAAGCCGGAGCACTGAGCCAGTCACCAATTTACGACATCACTTTATATCACCTAGAAGAGAAAAGGGGATACTCACACTGAATAGAATAATGGTCCATATGCTCCACATGTAGATTGAAATTGGCTCAGGGTGACATGCACAGGGGACATTTGGTATGCGAACAAGGTCCACTGGGCTTGGGAGTAGATGAGTTGGCCTTGAACTTAATGGCATCGAGCACTTAGGAAATGGTAAAATTTCGGTCTCTCCTTTCATTTGTAATTTATCCTGCCACTTCTAAGTCAAGGGCCATTGTCACTACATGTTTTAGGACCTTGAGAAGAACTTAAAATTCTAAGTTATGCTTATATTATCCTCACACCAGGTTCCAGATATGCAAGGCCTGAGAACACAGGGAAGTTTACAGTGTGTGACACAAAGTATGCAGAGAACAGATCAATGGGACAAATAATCACACACAAACAGCTCCCCAAACACTGTATAACAGGAGGGGCTCAACTACCTGTCTGTGCTATTGCTTTTTATCTTTCTGCTTCACAGTCACCTTCAAGCCCCCCAAAGCATGGGCTTCACAAAAGACTTAAATTCAGAGAGTTACATTTCTAAGTTATATAGGGAGGAAAGAGTTAACTTACCGGGGGTACATAGAAAAATCATGTTATTATCATAAATAATATCATATTATTATATATAAACACTACAAGTTTGTCTTAAAATTCATCTTGTTTAATTATATCTTTTAGTTATCCCTGTAATAGCTTGCATTTATACCTTTACGCTTTTAAAAGAAAATGGTGCCATGTAAAATGTTCTATGCACCGTGAAGTTTATTAAAGGGTGGTTTAATCGAAAAAAACTAATGGTGTAAATTCTGACTTGAGAAGGCAAAGATGGAAAAACAGGAAACATGAGTGATGTGAAATCTAATTTTTATTGGGAAAATAGTCACGTGTGGATTTGTGTTACTAGTAAGTCAATGTAATTTGTGACTGACCTCTTCCTTTCTTGATAGCTTCTCACTGATCATAAAGGGCAGCTTATCCTTTGATCCATAAATTGAATTCTGAAGAATGGAGTACTTAGTGTGTTAGGAACTGCCTATTGAGTGTAAAAGTCACTGACATCCACAAGATTTCCTGCAGGCAAATTAAAGTGGGTGATAACGTTGTCGAACATATCAGATCAAGCTCAAAGAGGGTCTAACATTAAAAAGGGATTTCATGTGAGTTGAATCAAGTAGAACAATTAGAGGTAGTTGGAGCAATGATTAAAAACATTTAACTTTTAACAAAGTCCCAGTAGTTGCTAGGTATATATCATATTAAATTGTCTAGCAAATAAAAAATAATAGCAATGCTGGTTAATGTTTTTGTTTTTAGGTTTAATGTAATAGTTCTGTCTTTAAATGTTTTCTTTTTCAAAATTTTAAATCTTAGAGCAGTTTAAGATAGTACAGCGTTCCCATATACCCCATACCTGTTTTTCTCTATTGTTAATGTGTTATATTCATACATTTGTGTGGTACATTTGTTGCAATTATTAAATCAATATTGATGTTACTTTAACTAAAGTCTATAATTTATTCTGATACTCTTAGTTTTTACCTAATGTTCTTTTTGTTCAAGGATCCCATCTGGGATACTATATAACATTTAGTCCTTATGTGTCTTTAGGGTCCCCTTCGCTGGTTTATCAAACTTTCCTTGCTTTTGATGACATTGACAGTTTTGAGAGTACTGGTCAAGTGTTTTTGCACAATGTCCCTCAGTTTGGGTATTCCCTGTGAGGCTATAAAATCACAAGTGGACGTTTCATCTAGCTATTTTCACCATGAACTGGCTCTATTGACATGGTACCCATGAAAGAGTGCTGGGCATTGCCTTACTCATTAGCAAAAGGCTTAGATTTGTTCTAAGGTTTGAAAGTACTTACATCAGTTTACCAGGGCTGCTATAACAAAGTACCACAAACTGGATGGCTTATACAACAGCAATTTATTTTCTCATAGTTCTGGAGTCTAGGAGTCTGAAATCAAAATATTGGCAGGGCTGTGATGCCTCTAAAACCTTCGTTGCCTTTTTCCAGCTTCTGGTGGTTTGCTGGAAATTCTAGGTGTTCCTTGGTTTGTAGACGNTAGCATTGGTTCTTTTTTCTTTTTCTAATTACCCACAGCAATATTGTAATATTGAGAAAGAAGAACAAAGTTGGAGAAATCATGCTACCTGATATCAAACTATAGTACAAGGCCTTAGTAATCAAAACAGCATGTACTGGCATAAAAACGGACATATAGTAGATCTATGGAACCAGATAGAGAGCTCAGAAAGAAATCTACACCTTTATGGTAATTTTTTAACAAAGGAGGCAAGAACATACAATGGGGTAAAGACAGTCTATTCAATAAATGGTTTTGGGAAAATTGGATAGATTGGCTTTTTTGAGGGCTGTCATGGAAAACTGTTCCAGGTTTCTCTCCTAAGTTCTGGTGAAGTTATGGTTCTTTATTTTTCTTTTATCATACTGCTCTTGTTTGGTTTTTATTTTAATCAAATTACATTAAACTCATAAAATATTTTATTGGGGTAGTTCCTTCTTTTTTCAATTATTTAGAAGAGTTTGTAAGATTGGAATTATCCATTCTCAAATTTTGGTGGATTTACTTATAACACCATCTATGCCTGATGCTTTCTATCTGGGAAGATTTTATATTTCTAATTCAATTTCTTTAATGCTTCTAGGTCTATCTAAGTTTCTGTTTCTTCTTGATCAATTTAGTTTGTTCCTTTTATCTGTGTTTGCAAATGTATTGACATAAAGATCATTATATCTTATTTCCTTTTAATTCTCGGCTCTATCTGTAGTTGTGTTCCCTTTGTCATTTCAAATATTGTTTACTTTTGCCTTGCCTCTGTTTTCTTGATCAATCTTGACAGAGGCTTGTCAGTTTTATTTATCTTTTCAAAGAACCAGCTCAGCTTGTTGATACTCCCATCCTATGTTGCATTACATTCCCTCAGGTTTTCCTTTTCCTTTCATTCTTTTATTCCCTAACCTTCTTTTTGTTTCTTCTGTTCTCTTTACATCACTTAGGGTTGAAAGCTTAGCTTATCTCTTTTCAGCCTTTCTTAGTTTCTACTGCCTGGACAGGTTCAGTTTTACATTTATGTGTGTTGTTATTTGATTAATGCCTTTCTCCCATTTATAGACTATCTACTCCCTTAATTTGAGGACCATTTCTTTCTTTTTTCTTTTTTTTGCTGTAACTTCATATTCAACATTTAGCACAAAGCCTGACTCATAGTGGCTCAGCAAATAAATGCTGAAGGCATGAATGTTTAGTATGATTTGTAAACTGCAACACACTATACACATTAAATTATGAATACATTTATCTGATTTGAAAATAGTTTAGTAGCTTGGAGCATATTAGAGTATCAGTGGAACTGTCTAAGAAAAGTTATAGAACCAATATTTTTGGTTCTAAGGGAGTAAAAATGTCTTCAGGCAAACACTTTTTGAACTGCTGAGTGTTACAAAAACAGAAAAGCCAGTTATCAAAGTATTTGGAAGTCGACCTGAAGACTGTCATCTGCTTTCTGCTTCAATGAAGTCCATGTCAAGGAATCCTTGCTCTGTAGGATTCTGATGCAATTTTCCATTTTCACCACAGTGATAAGAAATTATCCTTAGTTCCTGTTAAAACATCATACATATTTGGAGTCAGTTTTAAGTTCAAATGCCAGCTATGTTTCTAATTACCTGTGTGACTTTAGACAAGTGACTTTATCCCTCTGAGCTTC